ACACACATATGTATATGAAGATATGCGCTGCTCTCTTTTCATTACTTATCATTACCCTCTTCCCATCCCTTTCACCTCTTTATTAGTCACGTTTCTCAATTATCATTTCACTCAACATCATGTCACTGCGGATCGTACGATGTCACTAATTATATTAATTCATCGGCTTTTAGCTTATTTATATCTCTTCTTCCTGAAAACACATTTTCTACGCGTCACAGATTCTCTATGAGGAAGTGGTTGGTAGTTACATTTACGTTTAATGTTTCATCACATCACTGTAATACGGAATAATGTCCAAATCATGCATTTCGAAGATCCTAATTACTTAATAAAATTAATTTACTTAAAGACACATTTTTTTTTTTACTCCATGTTCCTTCACTTCGTTTAAATTATTGAAATTCACGCTTTTCACACATGAAGTCTGAAAATACTCAATACCTGATTAATTTAATTGCATACGAGTGGCAGTGCATAAGAAAGCTTATTCCTACGGATGATGTTTGTATGTGTGTTAAAAAATGTAGGGAGCAATATGCACGTAGTAACGCCACGTTTCGTGCAACGAATCAAATTTCAGTTTTGCCACGCGTTTTATACAGGTAGAATAGATTCCTTTACGAAGCGGCATTTTTTTATGTAATCAATGAAAGTCTCTTCTTATCTTTTTTTTTCTTCCTTTTTACCGCGAACCATTCATTAATTATGTTAAAGTTCGGCTTCTTTCAGTGATTCGTTATCGGCACGTGGCGAGTGCAAGCTAAGCACGATAAGATGTCGCGTGTAAACATAAATTAAACGTCAGCAGATGACCATGAGGAAGGCATAAAATCCGACGCTTATAATTTAATAACAGATAACTAATCTAACGTGTATATGTATTGTATTGTAATATGAGTATTGTATAACTCCGCCTCTAAAAATTAACCAACTCGTTTTTGTATGTGTAAGCATAGCGTCACGTAGCGAGAATCACCGCGGCGTTCACGACGATGCGGAGAAAAATGACAGAATAATTTTTATGGAGTCTCCTCGAAAGCGAGATGTGTCACTGAATCTGTCGTTCTACATATATATATATATGTGTAAAAAAAAAAAAAAGAAGCTCATGCGATTCCCGACCAGCGTCACTCTCGCGACCTCATCGAACTACTCGTAATCGAGCCATCTCGGAGTTACTTTCGAAGAAAATTTCGTCGATCGTTTGTTGTCGTCTAGTTTGTATATTTTTATATTGGCGAAAATTTTTGTTCGGTATAATAAGCTCTGTTAACGTCACACGTGGACGTTGCGGTCATCTTATCACCGCGTGACTCGATTACAAGCAGACACCATCACACCGCCGCCCGTCCCACAGCCTTACACCCACTCCTTTTTTTTACTTTCTCACGAACCAGAAAAGAAAAACCACGGCAGATGAAACGAATAGAACACAAGAGATGAATCTGACTACCCCTCTCCCCTCTCCTATAGATAGATAGTATACATACTAAATAAAAAAAAAGAAAGGTAAAATATAAATATTATATATATAAATAAAAATATATGAAAGATGTGTATTGTAAGATATTTAATACCGACTTGTCTTAGGCACACCCGATGACGATCGATAACAATGAAACGATGATAATAATTATTACGATGATTGTTGTATAACGAACGACGACGATGATGATATTCTACACTGTAATTCGCGTTGTAATATAGAGGCCCACCCGTTACCCACTAAATCGATGTGTCAATGTACCCCCGGCCGTGCTCTGCTCGTGCGCGCATTTCGAAAAGGGATGACCCTGCGGAGAGGGAGAGATATATCGGACTTTGCAGGTGCGTCGCGCTTTGGACGACGGCCAATCAGCCGAACTGAGATTTTTCTACGAGAAGGACCGGGAGTTATACTTTCGTAACTGGCCGACGTTCAACGACCGTCGCACTCGGGACGAGAGAAATTAGATCGGTTTCGATCGCGCCTTCGCGCTGCGCAACGTTAATCATCGTAGCGCGAAAGCTACATACACACACACACTCACTCACTCACTCACTCACTCACTCAGCATACACATATACACTTGCCCTGTTTACGATGTGCAGCAGCCTATTACGAACGAGCATAGCACGTCCGGCAGCAACTAGCAATAATATAACATTCCAACTTAAATCGCATATGTACTGCGAATTCTAATAATGTGTGCCGCCATACGAGAAAGAAAAAAAAAAACACTGTCAAATACACGCTCATACACTGCTATTCATCGTAT